CACATTGCTTCTAGTGCAGCAATTTATGTCAAATAAAAACATTATGGTGTGTCCTCATCCAACTTATTCATGGGATCTGGCACCATGCAACTTCTGGATCTCCGCAAAGTCAAAATGATTCAGGACATCGAGGCAGCCATGACAGCACAACTAAAGACACTCACAAAAGAGGACTTCCAGAACTGCGTCAGAAAGTGGCAAGAACGATGGGATAAGTGTGTTCAAAGTTAGGAGGAGTATTCTGAGGGGGGTTAATAGCAATGTGTCTTTTACTGTAATAATTTTTTTTTATTTAAACATTCACCATATTGTTTGATCATACCTCGTATATGGTAGGCTCATATCTATAGTTCATAACTTTTATAAGTTACGTGATAGATTATGGTTCTAATATCAATTACAAAAGATGATATGCTTGGATTACTGCCAGATGTTCCTAACTTTATAAACTTGAGATAGCACTTAATGTCTGTATAATAGTTACTGGAAGCAGTGGGAGTAAGCCATATAGGGATATTCCTAATAAACTGCGTTCTAATTGAAAGTATAAGATCACTAGAGGGCTTTGAAAATATCAAAGAGAGGACAGACAGATTGCATTTTGATTTGAAGACCTGGCTTTTGTACAGATTGAGCTAATCCTCATTGGCTCTTTTATGCTAATGTTATTACTATTTAATTACAAATAACCTCAGATATTGTTGACCTCACAGTTAACATCCAGATTTAAATGCAAAATGCCATGCTTATTTATGTATTTCATTTATTTATCTATTTTGATTTATTCTAGGAATCCTTATTCTAAAATAGTATGCAATGGAGCTATATTTGTTCTTGAACAACTTAAAGAATACTTAATTTTACTTTTGCCATTATTTATCTCTGTCTCTCCTCCCTGGGAGCTGCTGTTAAAATTAATTTGCATTTTAGACCTCAGGATTTTATATTGCCATTAGAGTTGTGAAATGTTTTTACTCAGCACAACTAAGAACTGATGTTTTACCTCCCACTAATGGACCTTTAATTAGGCACTGTAATGAACCATTCTGTCATTCCTTCATTTATATAGAGAAGGTTTTGTGTATGTAAGATACAATTTTGACAGAACACCCGGTCCACTGAACCTTGCCAACTCACATCTAATAGATCCTAAATTTATTATGCTTTTGTCAGCTGTTGGATTTATCATTTTAATGACACTGTCCACAGTCTTATTTTGCTGCCAAAGAACAGCCTCTCCGTGCTGCAGGAACGTTTGCCGACGTCTTGATCAACAACTCCAGGGGTCCGACTCTGACAATAATATTACTACTTCGGGACCTTGGGCAAGTTATTTAACCTCTGTCTAAGGATTAATTGGTTAATTTTAATAAGTGTTTTGCAGTAAAAGGTGGGAATCAGTCACTATGACTGCTAATAGTGATAATAAAATTATCATGCAAGCTTTTACAATGCATTCAGCTAGTTCAGACTGTGATTCTTCTATTAAGGTGCCAATTAAAACATAAGCTGCTAAATTTATTCTTTTTAAGAATTTAGATTGCTATAATGATGGCCACATAGTATTTTTAAAACTTATTTCAAAAATAATCAAGAATGGCAATGGTTCAACTTAAAAAAAAAAAAAGAGTGATGTTCTATGATGATGGACCAACTGAAAACTGAGAAATAGCTCTACACAAAAATACAGTTGTTCCGTGACTAAATGTAGCTTTGTACATTAAATTGATTGTTCTTTTATTAACTTGTCTCTAAACAGCTCTCATTCATTTATTTATGATTACTTATTTTTCCATCTATTTATTTGACAAATGCCATTGTTGGGTATAGTCTCAAAGAGGTCATTCTAGACAAGTAAAAAGAATGCATACAAGTAGTAACACTACCAGGTAAAAAAGAATAGAGCCAGAAAGAGGTAAAGAAGCAGAGAATTTAGAAGAGAAAGAGATTAACTCAAACTGGGGGTGTATGTGAACATCTTCTAAAAGGAAATGGTGTTAAGGGAGGAAGGTAGATAGAATTCGGCATGGAGAGATGAAGGTGAGGGGGAAAAGAAAGCACATTTTAGAGGAAAATAGCATGAAAAGTCGCAATACCAGGGAAGATGACATATGAAGAAACATGATCAGCGTGGCTTTACTAGACTAAAGAAGAGGCTGCAGAAACAGTTTGGATAGTAGGGATGATCTGCATCACACAGGATAGTAGTTGGTATTGGTCCTGATTTGCTTGGAAATCAGACAGTTGTGAGAACGGTGGAGGAGAAAAGATAAAAAGAAACAAAAGACAAAAAAAAGAGTTAGTAAATGCAAGTTGTGCTGGAATATTATGCTATGTTGAGTGGAGGGAGGTAAGAGGGCAATGAGGACGTGAATGGGGTTGCATATAGCTGGAATGTATTTGCCAAATAAACTCTGATGGCCTGTGATGCATATCACTTAAGAGGCAAGTGTAAATGGGCACTGCCTTAAGATAGTGGCATGTGCATATGCCAAGAAGAGGATGACCTAATATGAGGAGAATGTATACCTAGAAAAGGAAACACCACATTGAAACTGAAACTCTCTTTTTGCTGCAGCAGAAGTGGTCCCTGCTGTAACATCAGAGCCAAAATATTTAACAATACTCTTTATTCTCAAATAACAACTCAGTGCACATAGCTTGATTGTATGCTATTCTACATACTACTTTCTACAATGATATGTCCTAGGCCACCCTCCATGAGGTCCTCAATGATAGCAAACAATCTGGGGACCAGAATATTAAGTGGCTTTGAAGGATGTGAGCCCTGGAGCCGGGTTGCCTGTGTTTGAATCCTGGCTCTCCCGATCACTAACTGTGTGACCTTCAGGAGGCTCTTTATGCCTTCTTAGTAGCCTCCTCTATACAATGAGAATAAAAAACAACACCTTGTTCATCAGTTGAATTCAATAGATTAATAGAATTAACGCAAAGAAGGAAGAAATTACAAGAGTTTCCGAAGGTAGAGAGATGTCAGTAAACGTGGTTGAGATAAAAAACAACAAAACATTTTTTATTATGGATAAAACATACAACTGTTTATGTTGCTGCTCTTTTGTGAATAGATACAGAGGGTGCAGAGAGAAAGCATAAATTTAGTTGGTGATAATCCAGGTAAGAGATGTTGGTAGCTTCAATGAGGGTTGTGAGAATGCAGGTGGGGGAAGTGTTCAGATTCTGGGTAGATTTTAAAAGTAAAAGTGAGAATGAAAATGCGGTGTAAAAGAAAGAAGAAAAAAGTCAAGAACAATGCCACAATTTTTGGACCTGAACACTGAGTGTTTTGCTTTACAGACATAAGATAAGCTATGGTAGAGCCGTTTTGGGGTGAAAAAAATCAGATAAATTTTGAGCCAAGTCAAGCTGTTATATAGATGCTTAAGGATAAAAATCTGGGATCTAGAAGATAGGTTCAGCTGGAGACATAAATTTGGAGCTATTCATATTTGGATGGTATTACAAGCCACACAATTAGTTGAAATCGTCCAGGCAATGGGTCTGATTCTTGGGCACATATGTAAAACATCTAGAAAACTTTAAATAATATAGATGACCTATTACATGCTAAGAAAAGAAAAATCTTCAGAGGTGACATTTGGGAAACTGTATTTTATACAAGCTGTTGAAGCCATTCTAATGTGCAGAGTTATACAGAAGTCATAGGCTCAAGGAGTGAGTGTTTTAGAGAAGAAAAGAGATACAGGAACACAATCACAAGTCACTGCAATGTTTAAAAGGTCAGAAGAATAAGGAGTAATCAACAAAAGACACTGAGAAGAAGCAGCTAGTAAATTGGGAATGAAAGTAAGAGATTAAAAACAAGGGAAGAAGGTGTTTTAAGGACAGAGTGATTAATGTTGACTGTAGATGTAAAACAAAAATTGAGAATTGACCATTGGATATAAAAACATAGATGCCATTAAAATAAATTAATTAACTTGACTTTGATAAAAAAATGTTTCTGTAGAATAGTAAAGATAAAAACCTGACAAAGGTGGGGTAAAAAAAAAAAACAGAAAGAGAGGAATTGGAGAATATAATAACATTTTAGAGCAATACGATGGTTCAAAAAATGAGCAGTGAACTAAAGTTGTATCCAGAAAGGGATGTGGGCACAAGGTAAGGTTTTTTTGTTTGTTTTAAGAAAGTACTAGGTAAAGAGGGAAATATTGATAAAGCAGGAGAAAGAGGGGCAGTTTTAAGACATGTGTCCTTGAGTAGCTAAGAGGTAACCAATGCATGAGTGAGTAGCATAGCATGAGACGCAGTATGGCTTGCTTCCTAGTCATAAGAAAAAAGACAGAGTGTATTGGTATAGGATAAAGCAGTTTCAGGGGTATGGACTGGGAGCTTGTGGCAGTTCTCTTTGAAAGGCTTCTATTTTTATGAATAAAATAAGAAGCATGGTCTTTGACTAAGAATAAAGTTGGGGAGCAGGTTTTGGAGGATTGAAGAGAAAGAAGTATGAGATAGACATCTAGGTGAGATAATGGATTAGTGAAATATAGATGACATAGTAAGTGCCCTTTGGAAGTTAGTGATAAAAACTCAAGTGAGACCAGTCTACATAATTATGTTTTTGTTTTTGTGTTGTTTTTTTTCAGTTGCATTTAGCAATGGGGCACCAGTTCAGGGCCGATGGAGGAGTGAATTTAGCCATGGTTACAGTTTTCTAGGACAGAAAAATAGAAGGGAAGAGGGAGCAAAGGAATTGAGGATATGTACAAGGAAATGATTATGTTAGACTATGGAATCTAAGATGGAGAAGACAGAAACAGAATCTTTAAAATAAAAGAAGGATGAGGAACAATGTAAAGAATTATTGGAGTTTGGAATGACATAGGACGCAAAACTAAGGAACAAGGGGTGGCTGACACTGAGATAATTTAGGGCATGTAGATAGAGGTAATAAGACAATTTCATAAGGTTAACATCAAAGCATGCTGTCAGACAGACTGGTGGGTGGTGCTTTCACTTACAGTACTGACATCTGTCACCAGTGTGTTCAGGCTGGCAGTAGCAGTAAGGCTGGTTCCCAGCACTCACGCTGCACGTCCCTCCATTTTGACAAAAATCCTCACAAACTGTCTTACCACAGTTTGGTCCAGTGAACCCCAGTGCACAGCTGCAGGTGGGTCTCCCTATAAGAAAAAAAAAAGTAATAAAAAGAAAATTATTTGACTAAAATGGTTTAATTTGCATGGAATCCACTAGATAAGAATCAGGAAGTCATGATTTTGATCAAAGTTTGTCCACTATTTATGCTGTAACTTTAGGCAGCAACATGACCTCTTTGGGTCTCAGGTTCCCAATGTTCCAATGAAGCCCAGATTAGATGGTATCTCAAGGTCACATTGGGTAAAATAAGCAGAGCTCATTTTATGAATAATTACACATGCATACAAGTATATTATGCTTTACAGTGCTTGCATTATTCTCTGTACTTCTCTTTACATGTCCATTTGGGCTTTTCAATTATTTTTGCTCTCCTCATGTGGTAATGCAGATTGTAATGGCCATTAGAATATAAAACAAAGAAAATCACTTTTCCCAGTGTTTAATCATCATGTACCAACCACTGCCAAATCTACATAAAGCATGAACTTCGACTTACTATAAATATGTGTTTTAATAAGTTTAAAGTGGGTATGTCGTTTGAAACAAGATTTATGAACATTAATTATTTTATTAGATTTAAATACAAACACTGGATTTAGTATGTAAGTACTTATTAAGTCCTATTTTATTTCATTTTGGAATTTTTATTCATGGTCAAGGACTGTTTGTAATCTAGTAAGATGATTTAGAAGTCTAATGCTAACAGCACACAATAGCAAGTCAGATGGATCAAATTTAGGTATTTTTCTTTATTTGCTCTGTGGGAGCTAGTATCACACTGGAAGGTGAACAATCCTTTAAGGTGTTTTGAACATAACAGTTAACTGTTATATCAGGAATGAGTCTCTCTAACTGCCTGAGCTGTCAAGGACTGGGTAGAAAATTCAATAGAGAACTAGCTCTGTAGAAGAGGTGAAGAACAAAACAAAAATTAATGACTATCATTTGTAATGGGGAAAGAATGAGGTTGAGAGGTTAGACAAATGTAAAGAAATAACATGAAAGAGAATAAAAAAGAAATTGAATTATAGATCTCAATGAACTAGAATTCAGAAAATGCTACTCGGTTGGTAGCATCAGGGAATAATATCCAACCATCTCCTCTATCACCTTTGTAGACATGAAGCATACTTAGAATTGTCAGAAAAATGCATGAGTGTAAGACAAGACTTGAAGTGTGAAAATGATATGCTTTCTCTATTGCCATAGAGTCTACATTTTACATTGAGGACAATTCTACATTATTTTATTTATTTATTTATTTTTGCAAAAGCATTCTTAAGTGAATAAAATGCCTCCAAATAAAATCTAGCTGTATTTCCAAGAGAATGAGTAAATTGAAGTTTCACAATTTATATATTTATTTTAATTTGAAAGGGCTCCACACATTTTAAAAAGCTAGAGCTATTGCTTCTCAATGAAGAGAGTTATATACATTTTTTAGTTGATGCTTTAAACTGTTTGATATACAGTTCAATGCTTTAAAACTGATTTACAAATGCTACTAGTTTGGTGGCCGATAAATGGCTATTAATAGATTGAGAAAAAAAGGTAAGTTTTATATACATTAAAAGCTGATTAACCTCCTATTTTCCATTGTCAGAATATGGCTTTAAAACTTTTAGATAAAGATTTTTCTTATAATGGTAGTGAATTTTCTAGTTGTCGATTATATCAGGACAGCATATTTTCACTGGAATAAGGATGAGTGAAAAATAAAGACTCAAACTACAGAATAAATGGTGGTGGAAGATAAAGAGGTTCGACGGTTCTTGGAACACAGTTACAGGGAAACCAAAACCCTGTGCAAAAGTCATTCCTCTTCAGTCACAAGAACCACTGAATGACTTACAGAAAAACAGAATATATAAACAGGAACACAAATAACATAAGATGAATGTGAAACAGTACAGGAAGTACAGGAGAAATCAAATTGCATTAGAAAACCAGAAAAAGGGCCACATGGAGGCAGGACTTAAACACAGTAGATTTATGGTTTCCTCCATTACTTTCTAGGTTTCTTTTTTTTTCCCCCTTTTTTAAAACCTAAGAGTGAAAAAAAATGATAGATGTTTGAAAAAAACAAACACAACCTGTTAAGACCCTTGAAAACTCCTCTGTTCTAGTCACTCAGAGAAACAGCACCATGCTTTCATCTCATCTACAGGCTGTTTTGAAACTAGGGCAGAGTGACCAGGTTGTCCCCCAGCTGGCATATGTCTTGCATCATTTAGATTCTGGCTGAATTATTTTTAAAAAAGCTCCTATGTGTCTTCCTTTGAAGAGAAGATTTATTTTTGACAAGGAGAAATCTCTTCATAGTCAGGGGAATATTATCTAACTGGAAACTGTGTGATGGTACAGCAGATCTTTTGTTTGCTGATGAGGAATGAAACATCTGCTGCAGCATTTTATAATGGTCTCCATTTAATATTTTCCAGGAGCTCTCCGGGTGCACCCTAACAAGTTGCACTGGATTCATTTATAAAGATTTTTTTAGGTAGCTGAATTTGATTTTGACATTTGAAAAGGAAACGGCACTTTTACAACGACTAAGATATAGCAGTAATGTATCCAGGCAGCTGGGGTATTGACAGCCAACAGGGTAGTGCAATCAGGGAGAGCGTTGACCTGAGGAAGGAGGGGGAGCAGAACAGTTTGTTGGCTCTAATCAGTCTAGCTTCTACGGCGTTCTTAGCTGAGACCTTAAGAGTGTAGGTTGTCTGACTGCCTGGATTTGCAGACTATCTGTGCCAGTTACTGGCTATGAAACTATGGTCTCATATCCCCTCTCTGCTTACTTTCTCGTGTTTAAAACGAGGGCAGTAACAGTGCCTACCTCATACATAGGCCATTGTGCAGAATTACATAGAATACTTGAGATAATACATGCAAAGCTTTTCTAATTGTGCCAGGCACACAGAGAGCACTCAGCTACATTTTTGTTCTTATTATTATTCCTATTGAGTGAGTTACAACAAATATAGATGACTTACTCTGTGATTATATCTACAAAGGCACTGTAATTCTCCGAAAACTATTCTGAAAATTTCTTAAATTACACATTTTATATCCATTATTTATTTAAGATCAAATTAAATGTAAATTTGTTTGCATGCCAGTGATGGGATACAGCAGGCATTCTGGAATTCTCCATTAACTTTGCTCTCAGCCTCCAACATTTCAAACTTTTGAAGGATGGGTCCCTCTCTCTACTTTACCTTCTAAACATGCTTAATTCTACCCCTTAAAAGAAAGAACACACACACACACGCGCGCACACACACACACACACACACACACACACACCACACAACACACAACACAAATATAAATAAAAAAGCAAACCTAATATTTGCCAAGGACATATATAACTTCAAATTTTGGTATATCTTGAACTTTTTCAAAAGAAATTGATAGTCACTGCTTCCAATTTTACCAACATATGACAAACTAAAATCTTTGGTCATAAAGTCACATCCCAATCCTTCACTGGCTTTACAGTTTTTATTATTTTTTTAATATACAAAACAATGTGTATTAATCAATTACTTCTCTTTTCTCAGTGGAGAGGTCAGATACTTCAATATGTATGTACTGTTCATGTAACTCAATTCTGATTCCCTGGCAGTTAGAAAGGCTTAGGAATGAAGACGTTAACACGTGGTATTGTCTTTACTGTGTATTTATGTACTATTGCAAAGCTTACCTCTAATCTCTTAATCCTAAAATCCACTAATTTCTTCTCAATCATCATTCTCCTCAAATTTTCTCCATAATTTTACATTTTTAACACCTACACTTGAAAATTCTATCCACTTAGCTTTTAAGACACTAGTATTGTTGATTTCCCTATCATCTTTCTGACTGGTTTTTACCAATTGCTTTTATGTTTTGTCTCTCTCTCTCTCTCTCTCTCTCTCTCTCTCTCTCTCTCTCT